TTTAGTACAGATAACAGCCCATAATATCATGAAAATAGTATAAACTAAATGAATTCCTAGTGATACTTGATTATCTTCAAAATATTGACCATTTATTAAATTGAACACTTGACAAAATAAACCAGCGATTAACGGACAAGTTAAATAAACACAATAAGACTTCATCCAAACAAAATAAAATCCAATTGAATCACCAAAATACTGACGTAATTTCTCCGAATTCGGAAATACATTTAAAGTGGAGAAATGATCGGTCCATATAGATCGTCTTTCCATTTTGTCATGACTTCTAGTTAAATTAGATATTAGTCCTAAATACTCTAAGATGAATAGAGCTGGACGATTTGATAAAATATACTCATCAATATTATCAATCAGATTTAAGGACAAACCCAAATCACATACAAGACTTTTAATATGTGCCTTAGACAAAACTAAACTACGAATAGCGAGTTCGGCAAGCCAAGCTGTTTGCCCATCGGTTAACTTTTGAACACAATTATTGAGTTCTACAAGGTATACACAGAAAAAGACAAGAAGGAAAGTAACCAAAATGGTTTAATAATTAATTAAAAACTCTTTAAGAAGTTAGTAGTAGTCGTAAAAGCTTTGATGATAACACGTATTTTTGTTTTGGTTATCTCCACAGGTGCACAAATTTATAAAACTATCTGGAAGCCAAGACCAAAATGTTATGGTTGACATACTGATACCTTCACATATGGATTCGGATTAAATTTCTCTTAACTCGAATGGTAAACGGGAATGGGCGAACTGGAAACTTGAAACTGTGCAAATAATTAGGACTTGGTTGTTTAAGGCAGTAAGCCTTTTCTGTGTAAATATTCGGTGACACTATAGTTAGTTTTTAAAAATGAACCAGGAAAATCAACCCAAGGCTCCCACCCCAAGAAATGAGATCAGTTAATGAAATCATCAACTGCTAGTCTGAATTGTACCGAAAAGTGTTAACACCTTGATAGAAGTTTGGCTAATCTATGATTGGAGGCAATTCTTGAGTCCAATATTATTTCATACGTTCATGATTTCAATGATAGGTTTCACTCTTAAAATTCAATCATACCTTTAAAGTAAATTTTCCTTATTTAGTTTTCTAATATAGTTGGCAACATTGTTTCGACATTATTCATCTCCTCTTATTGAGTTGGTACTAAGCGTGGGAAATTCGGCTGATACAAATATGCACCAGGTTTTGTCTTGTTTATTAGTGACTGATTGGAATATTTTAGGCATATTTTACCACTCATAATAAACTCCTTTACAAATGAATTAGGGGTTTGATAAGTGATTTTTGAAACATCAAAGCTTTTGATAAACCTTACCTATGAAGACGGGTAGAATACCTCAATGACGTAACTAAAATCCACAGAACTATTCAACTAATCGTCTACATCTAAACGTATTCACTCTTGAAGAGATAGTAAACAATTGTTCAACGGGTTACAGAATACGTATAAGAACGGAATAAAAAATTAAACAACTAGCAAACTGAGTAACCTTATTGATAATTCCTGAAAGTAATGGTTAACACATTAGCTGTATAATATGAACTTATGATCGTGAAACATTCACTTTTTGCTGGAACTCCACACTAAAATCCCACCTACGAAGTACAATCAGGCGCATATATACATCAGTTTAATCTGCCACACCTCATTAGCACAACGAGATGAACATCAAATTCATATTAGTTACATCAATGGTAGTAATGTATACAAGAAAGAATGTGCATAAGGATACAATAAAGGAACAAAAAATTATTTCGTAGAAAGAAAGGTATAAAGCGATTTTAATCTCGCGGTTTAAGAGAAGACAAAGAGTGTATACACCGATGCCATTGTGGTCGATTCTAAGCCATTTCACCCAGAGTCTAACCACTGGTTATGATAGTCACGCGGAACCCAACCAAGTAGTCCCCATCTACCAACATGGCTAGAAGACTGATGCCACATCTTGGTTTGGCCGCCTCTAACTTTCTTCCAACCATTTCCAAAACCAGTCAGCATTGCGCCTCGTGGTAAACGGTGGTCGGGCATACGTAACACGTGGCCCACCTATCTCAATCAATGAAGATTTACAACCTCATCAACTGATTTACGATTATTCCCTGATATCATGTGTCAAACCTCACGATTACTTACCCAGTGATCCCAGCAGATGTTGGCAATATTTCTAAAACATACTAACTTATGAGCATCTTCTACCCTTAATGAACACGTTTTGCAGCCGTAAAGTATAACAGAAAGAACTGCTGCACAGTATACTCGTCTTTTAATTGATAGACGAATATCTCGCCTTCGCCACAGGTGACGTAAGCTGGCGAAAGCCAAACGAGCTTTTTAAATCTGTGTAGAGATTTCTTCCAACACCAATCCATTGGAGCTGATCAGATTTCCAGGATAAGTGACTTTGTCGACGCCGTCAACTACGTCACTCCCTATCCTATTAAAATCTAAGCCACTGGAATAAAGAAATTGCTACATACTGTAGAAACCTACGAAAAATATCTTCTGTGGATTCACATATGACTAATTAAAAACCTGGAAATTATCACTTAAGTGTGTCGATCATAGATTCAGAAGCCTCTATCAATACAAAATATAGCAAAAGATATTTGGTGAAGGGTGATAGAAGTTAGAAATATGTATGGTAGCAACCCCAATTTCATTGATTGCTGATTTCAATTTTATGGAACGAGCGATTAACTACCCGATTCAAACTGACACAGATAAATAAAATTGAAATTTGGAGTCATTAATTGTTGCTTCTGTAAATTAGCTGCAATGATACGAATAATTTCTTTGTTCGCCCATGAGTTTGAGGTAGGTCATCATCATATATTCAATCAATCTAATCACAACAAGATTTGTAGAATAAAATAAATGGATTTAATTTCATTAATCATTTATCAACTATGTATCTGATGCCCCTTTTTACCAATATTTGTGTGTTCAAATAAATAAATAAATTATCGGTTATACCTCAACTAAGATAAGTAATCTGAATATCAATAAATGTAGGTTTTTAGACGCCTACATAAGACATTAAATGACATGTTTAATGTTTGTAAAGGTCTATTTAACCCTTTTGTGTGGCTTAAAGCAGTATATTAGACAAAAATTGTCAAAACAGCTCTGAAGAAGTACAAAGTTTCAGAACATTTAACTATGGATTTATTCCTTTACTGAATGTCATTAAATGATAACTAACCTTGTTTATCGATTGATAAATCCGGTCTTAGTAATGATGCACATTGTTTAAGCCACAACTTTGGTATATATATCAGAACAAAGTGCGTAGAATGACCATAATTATTCAAATCAGTTGGTGTTTCATCAATTGTACAACAAGATGTAAATACTGGCTGGTCATCACACTCAATGTTAATCTGTCTGTCAGTAGGAACAAAATTTGACATTAGACGGTTTTCCATAATGGACGTTTTAAGACATTCAGCTAGTCTATGAGCAACACGTACTTGATAGGTATTATCGGAATATTTTGGATGTTTTAACGACTTTGGGACTGCGAGACAGAACCTAACACCAGTAGTAGACATGGTTTAATTTTTGTTTGTCAGCAACAGCAAAATATTATCTGTTTCAATGAAAGTGAAATATTTTTCAATGCACTGACCGGTAAACAATGAAAATAAATACTTAATACAAAGAACAGGAAAAAGGACAATACTTAAACTTAAGAAAAGCAACTGGGGTCAAAAACAAGATTTTCTAATTATCTAAAAAGATATGTAACTTCATGAATTGGAAAAAGTAAATAGCTATCGTTACTATTATCTCTAAACAACCAACTACCTTATATTGGCATTATGAGGCTCTAATTGTGTGTAAATACTTACTCTAAATAGTTATTTCGAGTAACTCTATCTCTAAGAAATACAAATTTTCAGGCTAATTTTTTAATACCGAAAGTTTAGCATGATTGCACACTTCAGATAGTAGATCATAACTAATATATGGGTCACTGAAAAACGTTACCCCACTAAGGTGTATGTTTATGTAAAGTCCACATATCACGATAAGCATGGGTTGATTAGAGTTTTTATAGATAAAGTACGCATAATTTCAAAAACTACTTACAAATCAGAGGGATAAATGACAGCTGTATGATATATTTACACAATTATTGACAAATATAGAAATCTACCAAGTAAACTTAGTAATCACTGAAACTAAGGTTCTCGGGAAAACCTATGAACGTCTCAAACTAATTCTGTCAAATGAAAACTAAATATATTGCAAAATTATTTGAGAAAAACATGTTATTACACCGTCTAGCTTTAGCCTTCATTATCATTTCGTAATATTCAGGACCCCTAATATCAGTCAGTCAAATGCAAAGTATAACCTGGTAAGCATCCACATCGGTTCAAGTTTCCATACCCCATTAGCGCAGCGAAACGAAATTATTAGAGCTACTTTCGAAGTCGTAAATATGGTACAATATTAGTGTTAATATAAAAGAACATGATTCCTAACGCAGAACATTGCATTCGTCTCCCTAATATAATGGGCCTGGTACTTACAGCTACTGTTTTCGGTGACGATTCTTCAGAGATTGCATGATAGAACCAAACGTTTTAGAGATAAGTGGAGATGTAGTTCTAAATGTTGAGGAAGCCCCAAAGCAACAACGCTGTACTGAGACTTTAAATCAGATAACGCTTCGATGCATTTTATTGTCACCTTAAATGGTTAAGTCACTTTTGTTTTTGAAAGGAAAAAATTATCAACCATCCTAAAACATCCACTATGCATCAGATGATCATACAACGCAACCTGAGGAAAAGGTGAGAATATGCTTTAGATACATATGTTTTGACTGAGCCTGGCAATAAAAAACCCAAACAATGGTATATAAACGTTAATTTCCTGAAGTCATAACACAACTCTTAGGCATATAACACTGAGTACATACAAACACTGAAATCCAAGTTTTTAAGAAAGAATAAGAACTTAGGAAAAATGTTTATTAGAAAAATTTACACATAATAAAGCATACAAATCACAAAATAAGTTGTGTACAAAGGGAGGAAATATACCTTGTTTTATGGACAATAATGTTTAGAAGTTAAGTGAACATAAAGCAGAAGTGGAGAACAAAATATCGTGCAAGCTCTTAAGCAACCATCATTTTGCAGCCTGGAATACGTGCACTGGAAGAAACTCGGGGAGAATTTATTCGTGCCAATAAATTGACGGTCTTTGGAACGAAAACACAAAATTTCAGGCACTCATTGTGTAGATTCTGTGCATCTCGTATCATACAGTTATGTAGTTTCTCAAGATATTCCTTATATCTTCTGACGCGGCACAGTCGACGTACGTTGAGCCATCTGGAGCTAGCCCCAGCTTCGCGCCCTGAAATTACACTTATTAAGCCAATAAAGAGTTACATTGTTGAGCAGCAAAGATACGCAATCGATATGACCCTCATATATGGCTGCAAGCAAAGGTGTAACTCCAAAACTGTCATTAACCTACAAACCTTGAATCAATGAAAAAATAACTGGAGCATACATTTAAATCTGCACCATTTCGTATGAGGTAATCACATATTTCTTTCTGTCCATAGTCAGCAGCATAGTGAATTAGAGTTCTTCCATTTTTAAAAGTAGAATTAACCCCAGACAACTAAGTAATAATTAAATAACTGTAAACGCGTACATTATTCATGTTTTCTTTTATCGACTGCAAGTCACCATTTTTAACAGCCCAGAGCAACTGTTCATAATGCATATCGACACAACCAGCTGACTTCGAGGTCACAGGTTAACTGGCCGCTTAGTAGGGAGTAAAGAATTAGGCTAAACAAAATCAAACTGTAGTCGTTCAAATTAGTCGTCCATTTGAGCGTTTATGCTTATTCAAAAGAAAACAGTCTAATTTTTGGTCAAATATTACTTTGTTGGTAATTATTTTTGTAATTCAGTTATTTGTCTTTAAAATAGGAGCTATTGTTGAATGAAATACAGTTTCCGGTATAAATGAACAGCCAATTCATATAGAAGCATGACTCAACAGGTATAAAAGAGAAATATAAAACGGGATGTTAGTGCTCTAGAACGTGTTTCCAAGCTGGGTCTTTGCAAAAACCTGTAGCGGTTCAAATGGTTCAAATGGTTGTAGATGGAATGAAAGGAAATTACGCCTAACGAGTTTCACGTTCCTCATAAACTGTGAACTGACGTTTTCGAACTTATTCTGTAGCTTTCTATTGCATATGCCTTGTAATTTCCGAATTCTTTTGGAATAAATTTGGAAATACTCCGCTTTCATAATCTATATAATGTCGAATAAAACTATTAAAAATTAGCTGAAAAGCTTCTGGTTAAACTTGGCTAAGATAGGCCTCAAACTTTTCTCGAAAGCCATCATTTTCACCGTCAGTATGGAATTTTAAATTACATGGTAACAAGACATCAAGATTTTTCCTGATTAATAAAACTTCTAGAGTGGAATTATCTAGGCTGCATGTATAGTTCTCAGAATATCACAAGTAGACTAATTTGAGTCTTGAATAGTTTAGGTGAAATTCATTATTACTCACTCAAATTTGAAAGCAAGTCATATCATACTCAAGTGCTAGCCTGTCATCCTTGTCGCGAACTTCCTTTCGAAAATCAACACCACCCGACTTTATCCCATATTTATACATTTAATCTCAAATCTGACTATAATCCTGAACTTATTTCAGTCAGCACTCAGAATGTGGCTACCATCAACTCATCCTGTTGTGGTTTGATAACATCGAAGTCACGTACTGTTGTGCAGAGACCGACTTTCACAAGTACAGTGCAATTAAACTATGTGTAGTGTTCCTTGTGGAAATAAATTAGCTACCATGAGAGTTGACTGAGTGCGTTACATCCGTGATGTTTACCAGAGATTTGTCAAAATCTGACGAAATCCTAGAAGAGCTAACCATAAACAAGGAGAACCAGTGGATCGACAAAAATCAAACAAAAATTTTCACAATATAATTCAGGACATGGTTTTGTAACTAAAATGCTTTTACGAATAGTAAAAGCCATGAGGAAATTTTATAGAGGCTTCTTCAGAAAAATCTCTTTGCTTGGGTTTTCACAACAAGTAAACTCCAACCTTGTTTCCTTGCAAAATAACATGTCCGATACCCTAGCTTAGTCTTACAACCGAATTATGGTTATCACCGGGATTCACAGCGACCTGATTTGCCTCGTGAAGGAAATAATTCAGAGGACTCAAAATAAAATTACTGATCATCCGTATATTATATCTTAACCCTCAAACTGACCACACACGCGCCAGAACTCTTCAAAGATGTACACAACACAGAATATCTGCTCCACATATTTAAAGAACGTAGAACCCTAAATAATGGTGATACTAAGGCACTACAAGACGTCATCCCACACTGTTGAGAGCACCATTCCAAATCCCAGTGGCACTACGATTATTTCGAAAAACTCATTCGTCAGTGAGCATTAGTCAATGGATATAGCAGTCTGCAATACGTGGTAGGGTAGTCCACTGATCAGTCTTTATTTTATTGATATTGAAAGTGAATCTGAAGCTCTTGAAAGAATGTGGATCAAGATTCACACAATGTATGTTCACATTAGTCTCACATTCAACAATCAAAATTCTTCCACGTTAGTTAGCTATTTATTACTGTTAGTAGAACTTCCACTACTCGTTGATACGAACGACTAAAACTGACTTGCTCCCACTGTAACTCCACGAATCCTAAAAGTAGTGCTTGCCACTGTATTACTGCTCATAATTTGTCTAACAGAAGAATTGCTTGTAGTACATACAAGCCAAGGAAGCCAGTCATTTTTGGGTGTCCATGACTTGTTTTACCTATACGTATTTAAATATTTATTTTTCATGTTTCTATGACTTCAAACCAGAGAATACCACTCAATAGTGAAAGCTTTTCGAACAAAATACTGCCCTCTAACTCATTTGAACTGTGTGCTTCCGGAGCCAGAGTAAATTACTTAGACAATATATAACACTCTTTGATAAGCAGCCCAATAGCTACATTCTTCAACATGGATCAGTTATTAGTGATAACATTATGATTGATCTGTCATGGATGACTACAGTAACTTAGTTTCTGGTTGAGTTTTAGAAATATACCCCACATTATAATACACAGAGCAGGCTCACTCCAAAAAATGAGTCTACAGTGCTCTACTTAGACTGTAGAATTCTGGAATATGATTTCCGGCATTTTAGGTGTACGAGCATAAAAAGCGCTTGAAGACCTACTTTTCAACATTTCTTGTGCTCTCTGATCTGTGCAATAGTCTACAATACAGAAGGAAAAGACTTCTATGCGTAAAATCTATTGTTACCATTGCCAACCATTAAGGTTCGGTTCAGATACTTGGGTTATATAAAAGCATAAATAAGTTTGCCCAAATCGAAAAAATTGCGTACAGTAATTTGCGGATTAATTTTTCCAGCATAAACGAAGACAGTGACTACATATGCTTACGGTTCTCGTCTTCCATGTTGTTAACGTCCATATGCTTTTTTAGTACTAGTCAACCAACAACATTTCTATCCACAGTTACAAACCAAGGTAAAAAATAGAGTTCGTAGCAGGCCCAAGGCTGTATGTTTGGCAGAGTTAAGTGACGAATCCGACGCCCGGAGAATTTATAGTGCTGGTTTCCAGTGGCGTCCTACTTTTACGAATGTTTGTCCCCAATACGTCTACATAGTTGACTTCCATACAGATGATCAATACTTTATCCCTATCCAAACGTTTGTATTAAAAAGGACATTAGATTGTACATTTTAGCATACAACTATTCTACGAACATAGTAGCATGACCCTACAGTGTGGCTGAGTGTATTTATTTACTTTTATTTTATGACAGGCTCTTCTTAAATCTTTGACCTCAGGATAAAGCAACGTGAATGTATGTAGCTGACACAAGTATATTGAGAGTAATATGGGTGCATTTATTATCCACTGTCTATTAATGTTCAGCGCTAAACATTGTACAGCAACGCTCCATAAAGCTGCAGCACCCCCTACAATAGCTCTAGTAGCATGCTTTTAAGTGGATGAAAATAAAACTTTTTAGAAGTCAACTCTAAAATGATGTTAGTGTGGAAATCAGAGTTATGAAGTTAGGAGTGAGCTGATGACCTTATCATTTACTTCATTATTTTCTGTAGTCACTACATTTCTTATCTTTCTTTGAGGCCTGACGAAAGGTTTGTGTTTGGAATGACAATATAGCGCATTTCACCTGCTCTCAGTTTTACAATAAAATATAAGGTAGACCATTTTGAAGCCCTTTAGTTAAAACAACTTTAGCAAAGCTGTGAATACCTGTCTAACAGAACTTTTAAAGTTTCTGTAAGCATGTAGTGGCATGATGTGACTTCCACGTTAGATCTTATAGATAAGGTAATTACATCAAGACAAACCTACAGTTTTAGGATTAGGTCTTTTATTAGAGCAATACTAATATCGAAGTAGACCATAATTCAACAAGTACTCTGAATAGATTCTGAAGAACGGAAACCGAGGCATAACAAACTTAATGACATGAAAAATATTGAAAATGTTCGATCATCTAATAGTTCAACCACATCCCAGTTGCATGTAGTTCGCAAAGTTGCGGATGGATATTGATGTTCAAATATCGATTATCTGTGTCTTAACATAAAAAAACACTTAAAGTCGTCATCTTTTTCCTAGCAATGTACATTTTGTGGTTACCCTTAAAGATATGACCACCTTTGCGACAGTCTAACTGGTTAAAACATACACTCAAATAGACGACTAATGGTAATACCATATAAAATATTATTAGAACCCTCCTTCCAAGATTCATCAGCGACGAGTACGAGGATCTTTCCTCTGTACGCATACATTGAGGAATGTCTCGGCGAGAGCTTACACCGATAATTACATACCCAACCTAACGAAATCGTCGCTCAACAGCAACATTACGATACAACTGCGAACATTCAGAAACCCTAAATCGTAGTTATCCGAATGGAAATTTCCAGGCATAGTGTTTCTACTCAGTGTATTCTTACACTGGGAAACAAGATTATGGTTACTTTTGTCAGGATAGGCCCAGGATACAGAATAGTGATGTAACACTTTCAGCCTGGAACCCTTAGCTATGTACTGTGGTACTCTGTAGATGACTGGAAGTTCACTACTATTAGCCTTCATATATAACTCCTATCCGGACACATACTCTCCTAAACAGCTATGCTTACTGAGTTACACTTATCAGTTTACTATAGTTACATAACAGTGTAATTATAGACGACTTGTTTTCCTAAGAATCGATGTTCCTAAAACTGTACAGCCACAGAAAGGAGATACTGACGTTCGTCCTGAGCTGTCGTCAAAATAACTCAAGCTACGATCCAAAGACTAAGGAACAGGTAATGAAATCCTGTTGCTTGATAAATATACCGCCAAACATCAGGGCATTAACGTCATGTTCCTAATAATGCTGACTGACCTATATCGGCGTAAAGTTACAGTGACGAGCACGTTCACTGCAGAATGATTTGGGCCATCTATTACGAATGAGGTCATGGGGGGGGAGAGGACGCCCATGTGAGAACTCCCAATAGTTCAGAGTGACTAGTTCTAAATGTCTTTAAGGTTATTTTGCAACTCCTGATGTTAGTTCTGACCATGTCCATCTTAGTCTGGTATAGTTCTCAACAGAAGCAGACGGATAGTCTGGTTCCTCAGCATATGTCAACCGTTTTACGCGATGGTCAGAAGCAGTACCTATTAG